TTTTAATTTTTAAAGATTTATTTATTTATTTGAAAGTCAGAGTTACACAGAGAGAAGAGAGAGGTCTTCCATCTGATGGTTCACTCTCCAGATGGCCGCAAGAGCCAGGGCTGCGCTGATCCAAAGCCAGGAGCCAGGAGCCTCCTCTGGGTCTCCCACGTGGGTGCAGGGGCCCAAGCACTTGGGGCATCTTCTACTGCTATCCTGGGCCACAGCAGAGAGCTGGACAGGAAGTGGAGCAGCCGGGTCTCGAACCGGTGCCCATATGGGATGCCGGTGCTTCAGGCCAGGGCGTTAACCCACTTCCCCACAGCGCCGGCCCCCTTACCAATATTTTTGATGAACACATTTACCTCAGTCCTTTGGAGGGGATTCTCCCCCATGGCATTCAAAGTTTCAAACCTGATAGCAATGTTGTGTAGGAATTCAGAGTAGATCGTTCTCTCACACTTTACTTTTACAGGTATCTGGAACTTTCCATAAAGTGATCACACTGATCAAAACAGCTTTGGAGCCTGCAGTAGGTTTGTCCTCTGCCTGCGGTGCCAGCATCCCACATGGGCGCCGGCTCTAGTCCCGGCTGCTCCACTTCCAATCCAGCTCTCTGCTGTGGCCTGGGAAAGCAGTAGAAGATGGCCCAAGTCCTTGGACCCCTGCACCCACGTGGGAGACCGAAAAGAAGCGCCTGGCTCCTGGCTTCAGATTGGCACAGATCCAGCCATTGCAGCCATCTGGGAAGTGAACCAACAGAAGGAGGACCTTTCTGTCTCTCCCTCTCACTGTCTGTAACTCTACCTCTCAAATAAAATAAATAAAATCTTAAAAAAAAAAAAAAAAGAAGAAGAAGAAGAAGAGCTTTGAGCTTTCCATTAGCCCTTAATATTTTCAAGGAAATATATTAAAGAAACTCTCAAACAGTAAGAGAGTTAGATAGGTAAATCTGAATATTTTCTTCTGAAGACGACTAGAAAGCAGGGTTTTCTATTCACTTTTCATCTCCTGTAATGGGAAAAGCAGTCTTTGGAACTAACAGTCCTGAGAACTAACCCCGCCTCTTACAAATAATAACTGACTGGCTTGGGGCAGGTTCACCAAATAAGAAATGGGGATAACAGCCTCTCAGAAGGCTTGTGGGTGTAAACAAAATAGCGTGTAGACAGCCTTCTAAGAGTACCTGACATTCTGTGAATATCTGCTTTGTGACTACTGGCAATCATTTATCTGGAATTTCATTTGTGCTGTGGTGCAGCAAGTCAAGCTGCCATCTGCAATGCCAGCATCCCATTTGAGTGCCAGTTCAAATCCTGGCTGCTCAACTTCTCATCTATCTCCCCGCTAATGCACCTGAGAAAGCAGAAGAAAGTCCAAGTACTTGGGCCCATACCACCTACATGGGAGACCCAGATGCAGCTCCAGGTTCCTATCATTGCAGCCATTTGAGGAGTGAACCAGTGGATGGAAGACATATCTCTAACTCTGCCTTTCAAATAATTTTTTAAAAATTTGATGCAACAATTTACCAGCTTAATTTAATGAGGCAATAAGGTATTAGAGAAAGAAAAATCTATCCAAAGAATTCTACAAACCAAAATAAAATTTCCCAGGTGAACCATCCAAGAAGTATAAAGGCTATATAATACAGTGAACCCATTGGAGTTCCTTTGGGCCCCTAACCCAAGCAGATAAGAATATCCACTTTATCTTTCTAAAATAGAACTGGGCACTTTGTTCCCCCTTTAAAAGCCTTCAGGGGCCGGCTCTGTGGCATAGTGGGTAAAGCTACTGGCAAACCATATGGGTGCCGGTTTGACTCCTGACTGCTCCACTTCTGATCCACCTCTCTGCTATGGCCTGGGAAAGCAGTAGAAGACAGCCCAAGTCCTTGGGCCTCTGCACCCATGTGGGAGATCTGGGGGAAGTTCTCGGCTTCAGTGCAGCTCCAGCCGTTGCTTCCAATTAGGAAGTGAAACAGCGGATGGAAGACCTCTCTCTCTCTCTCTGCCTCTCCTTCTTTCTCTGTGTAATTCTTTCAAATAAATAAATATTTAAAAAAAAAAAAAAAAAGTCTTCAAAGGTTCCTTACCATCTCCTGACAAAAAAGCCGAATTATTTACAATGACATTCAAGTTCTTCCCGGATCTGAACCAACTTACCTTTCCACCTCTCTCCATCAAACTACCACCTATCTGCTGACATACACGCCTTCCCTTCTCTGGAATGCCATGTTCTCCCTCACTCCCTCAATGCCTCCACACTGTATCGCAGTTACCACTGAGCCTTGAACTCCTCCTCTGGACCTAAGTTCCTTAACAGCAACAGGAAATTCATTTATAGTGGTAACCCAATATAAAGTTTGTTCCATAACAAGAATTCAATAATGTCTAAAGTTTAGAAGGTAAAACACTAACTTACATTTCCCCATATGGGCATTTCAAAAGGTATGTAGAAAAAGACATTAAAAAATAAGTTTATTTTGTGTGCAAAAAAAAAATCTATCCATACAAGAGGCCCTCAAAAAAATCTATGCATATGAAAAACCTATGCATGGATTTCAAAACTTCTTGCAACAAAATAAACTTAGCTTTTACTTCTATAATTCCATGAACTTTTGGAAGTACTCCCTGTATTGTCACCTATTCTTTAACTTGCACAAAATTAAGAGGGTAGGTAGCTGACATAATGGGTTCAGTCACTGGCCCACGACCATCATTGTCAAATAAGGAACAAAAACAGGACTCCGGGTTCTCAATCCAAGCTATTTTTAGAAAGAAAAGAAAAAGATATTCATGCTTTCAAAATTCTTATTTATTCCATCGTGGAAGATAAAATGTAACCTTTTTTCTAATTCTTGAGATACTAGCACAAAACCCTAAAATAGTGATTAGAAGCCCTTGCAGGGTTGATAAGAATGCTAGGTATTCTGCTAGAAGAATTCACACATTAAAACAAAGGACACATTACTTGGCTCACTCTGCTTTCCATAATTACTGACTGCCTTTACATCCTTCCTCTTTTTTGTTTTCTCAATTAGCATCTCATATGCTAGCATTCTCTTCACTGCTATCTCATGTAATGATCCATGCAGAAAGGTAGCTTTTAATTGCCAAACAGCTATCTCTCCTTTTTAACCAATTAGACATTGCTCTGAGTGCTGAATTTAGGAACTCAGTGTACCATACCTATCAATGTACCTTTTTTCTCTAAGGTTACTGGTAACTAGGCCTCCAAATTACAGGTTCCCCTAGGATTCCTGCCTCTCATTGGATGATGCAAATAATGAACACAAATGTGTTCAAATAACCTCCTGGGTTAAACCAAAATCTGCGACATCAAATTTCATTGAACCCAGCTCTCTAAGTGTACATGTGAAACAAGCAGGGAAAAGTTAATTGTCCTGGAGTTAACATGGTAACTAGAACTGAGCATCCTGATTCCCAAAACAACATTAAGCTTACTGCACATTATACAATCTCTTAGTCTTTCAAAGAATATATTACTACTATTTTCAAATAAGCTTAGAAGATGAAATTACCCATTTTTTTTTGTTATCTGACAATAGCTAAGAATATAAGTTGGTATCTTTCTACTATTACTCTGTTCTACAACATAATTTAACCTTGAGAAATTAAGTTCCAGAAACAAAAATTTAAGGTATAACATTGTTAGAGGAATTGTCCAGAAACTGCTACATTTTTATATAAGTGGTAATATAAGATCATTACTACAACAAACTCTAAATTCCAGCCAGTAAACTAAGGGTCAAGTGATTCAAAACCCCTCCAGCATTACCAATTCCCCAAACTAGCTAATACACAGAGGGCTGAATTTATGTGGAATGACAATGAACACTTAAAGGATGCACTTTTTTTAATGAAAAAGGGAATGGATGTAGAATGTTCAAATGTTCCGGAAACTTTTCAGTTTGCACAGTTATTCTGAAAGAAAACAAATAACTTTAGCATGTATCATTACACTGAGCTACTCAACTTCAGCTAATAAAATGTGGACTCCAAAAGGTACTCCCTCTGGGGAGAGTGTCATAAACATGCTGTTCTGGAATGTACGTGGAACCTAGCAACCACTTTTAAAGTTTCCTTTGCAGACGTCTCCCCCTGCCCTTCCACCAACACCCAGATTATCTTTTAGAATCAAGCGAACAGGACTCTCATCAGTCTTTCCCATTGACAAAAAGCATGTGACTGGTCTCTCCACCATTTGACCAAGTGAATCATCCAATTAAAACACACCACAATCTTGCTCCAAGACAAGAGACACCGAACAATTAATTATGCGCAAAGCACGGAGGGTTCTTTTAGGCCTTCCTCTGAGAATTCACTCTTACGCGTTGCCAACAAGATAAAACTTCAACCATGGAGAAGAGAAGTTGCTAGAACGTGGTGGACACATCTGATCTTCGGAGTCTGACAAGCCGGAGGGTGTAAATGAGCTGAACACCTCACTTCCTCCTCTACTGCCACATCAATGCTGACAAGTGATCAGGTCTTGCCCGGATTCACAGTTCCCCACAGCGACCGGAAAGGCATGTATAGGACCCATGGAAGGATTTCCTCCACTTATAAAAAATCAGTGGAGTCGGATGTAGCAACCATGGGAAACGGGAAAAGCAAAGTGTCGGGGGAAAAAAAAAAAAACACGAAAAACAAAAAAACCCAGCAACCTCAGAATGGGCTCCTCTGCGGAGGACAGGGCTCATTCTTCCACCCTGGCCACTGGAAACCAGAGAAGCTCAATTGATCAAAACGTCCTAGAAACCTCGGCAAGGCAGGACTGCTAACCCAAGGTGCCAGGCCCCTCAAGGGTGTGACCTAGTGGCCAGGCTTGCAGTGACAAACTTCGGGTACCCCCAAGGACGGAGTCCTGCTCAGGTCATCGCGGCCTAGCACGGGTGGGTGAGGGTGGAAGCGGTGGAGTCAGCTAGGGAGCTCAGCCCGGGCGCCGGGGCCGGGCTGGGGCGCCGCGGGCGGGGCCGGCCGGCTCACCTTTGAAGAAGCGCAGCGCCAAGCCGTACAGCTCTTCCAGGCCGAAGCCCCAGCGCTGCTCCAGCCGCCGCGCCTCCTCCGCCGCGCCCCCGGCCGCCGCCTCTCCGGGCTCCAGCGGCTCTCCTGCGGCGCCCGGGACCCGGCCGGCCCCAGGAGGCGAGGGCGGCGGCAGCGGCGGCGGCAGCAGCGGAGCGCCCTCCGCGCCGGGCCGCTCCTCCGGGTCTGGGCTTAGCGTGAGGCCGTCGACGGACACCTCCAGTCGCTCGGCGTTCAGCACCGCCGCCATCTCCGGCTGCTGCGCCTCCTCCGCGGGGACAGGCGGCGGCCACGTATCGACTTCCTGCTGACCTCTGACCTTCACTTACCGACACCGGAACTTCCGCTGCTGAGAAGGCTCGAGGGCTCTCGGAGAGGGGCTGAAGCCTGGTGCCCCGCCCCCTCGGAAACATCAGCCACGCCCCCTCCGCGACCACCCGCCACGCCCCCACGCTTTCGCTGGTGCAGGACCGCTTCCCCCACCGCCGCCGCATCTTCTGGGACCCCAGTTCCCCCCTGGTGGGCGGGTGCTGTGCCGTGGTGCCCCCCGCCCGGGACACCCCCGGCCCCGCTGCTACTCCGTGGCTCCCGGGGTCCCGCAGAGGCGGGGTCAGCTGGTCGCTACGGAGGCAAGTGAGCGGGCGCTCGGCCGCCCGGGACCGATTCCTCACCTTGCCGGGAGAAGTTGTGTGTTGGGCAGAGCTCCTTTGCCCACCACAGCAACTTGGAGGAAATGCGAGGCAAATGACATTTTTTTTCTTTAAATGGAAACTGCGGCTTACGACTCTGGATTTTCTGAGCTTCTGGCAGACGGAGGCAGAGCCTGGTTTTGCAGGAACGGAAGCTCATGGAGTTTGTGGGACTCTTATTAGGAAAAAAAAATGTACTTAGAATGAGAAGGAAATCATAACATTTTTTAAACGTAACAAAGCAAAAACATCACAGACAACCTTTTCGTTTGGTGGTTTTGTTTTTTTAAATTTGAGAGCCAGAAAGACAAAGGGAGCTCCCATCTCTCTGGTTCATTCTCCAGATAACCAGCAAAGACTAGGAGAGGGCCAAAGTGGAAACGGGGGGCTGACAACTCAGTCCAGGACTCCCACGTGGAGGGCAGGAGCCCAGCCACTTGACCCAGCCTTGCTGCCTCCCAGGGTCTGCCTTGACAGAAAGCTGGAATTGGGAGCACAGCCGGGAGTTGAACCCCGGCACTCCCAATCCGGGAGGGAGCTCCCAAGCTGCATCTTAACCACTAGCTCCTACACCTGCCTGCTGTGATGTTTTTTGTTAATTGCCTGATAAGCTTCTACAGGGTGTCCAAGGGCGCAGAAACAAACTGAAGATGCCATTACTCACATTCACTCTGCTGTGCGTTAGATTTTCAGGCAGCCTTTATGATAATTTGTTGACTACGTGCTTTTCATCACTTTTCCTATGACAATTATTTTGTAATATTTTCTATAAAGAAATTAAATCAACCTTTTCTCTGGTATGGTTCATTAAATTTGTTGTTTATTAATAACTGTTTGGGGGCTGGTACTGTGCCACAGAAGGTTAAGCCTCTGCCTGCAGTGCCAGCATCCCACATGGGCCTCAGTTGGAGTCCTGGCTGTTCTACCTCGCGTTCAGCTCTCTGCTGATGTGCCTGGGAAAGTAGCAGAAAATGGCCCAAGTGTTTGGGCCCCCGTGCGGAGTCGTCCTGCAAGGTCCACACTGCCGGGATGGTGGGGAGACGGCGTTCTTCGGCAAGAAGCACCAGAGACAGATTTCGGTGAACATGTTCATTTATGAACGATCAAGCGTAAGCTTTTAAAGGGCAGGCAGAGGGGGTGTAGCTAATTCAGGAGCAACACTAATTCTATAGGATAAAACCGATATTGGTGCTGCTACGCTTCTCCAAACAGCTTGGCTTATGTATCTTTCCCGATGGGCTTGGGCCACACCCGGGAGCAGTTTATCTGATTTGCAATTACAAGGCTCTTCAGCAGAAGGCATGGGTAGGGGAAGAGTGCCGGGGGATGCTGCCGCCTACCTAGTCAGGTTAACCTCCCGCATGGGCTAGGCAGGCAGTGTCCCAGCCAGGGACAGGATCACCCACACCCCTATACCTATGTGGGAGACCCAGAAGAAGCTCCCAGCTCCTGGCTTCAGCCTGACCCAGCCCAAGCTGTTGTGGCCATTTGGGGAGTGAACCAGCAGAAGGATGGAAGATTCTCTCTCTCTCTATATATATATATCTGCCTTTCAAATAAGTAAATCTTTTTTAAAATTTATTCTTTGAGGAATACAAATTTCATAAGTGCAATTTTAGGAATATAGTTATTCTTCCCACCATTCCCACCCCCAATCCCACGTCCTCCTCCCTCTCCAATTCCCAGTCCCATTCTCCATTAAGATTCATTTTCAATTAATTTTGTACACAGAAGACCAACTCTATACTAAGTAAAGGTTTCAGCAGTTTGCACACACACACCAAGCAGAACTAGTTTTAGTTAATTTTCATGATACAACTCATTGAGGACAGAGGACCTACATGGAGAGTTAGTGCACAGTGACTCCTATTGTTAATTTAACAATTAACACTCTTATGTATGACATCAGTGACCATCTGATGCCCCTCTTATTTTTTCCTTTTCATGTACAGCCAGGCAGACAGTGAGAGAGAGAGAGAGAGTTATAGACAGTGAAAGAGAGAAAGACAGAAAGAAAGGTCTTTGCCAATCCCAAGCCAGGAGCCAGGTGCTTCCTCCTGGTCTCCCATGCGGGTGCAGGGCCCAAGCACTTGGGCCATCCTCCACTGCCTTCCCCGGGCCACAGCAGAGAGCTGGACTGGAAGAGGAGCGACCAGGACAGAACCCAGCGCCCTGACCAGGACTAGAACACGGGGTGCTGGCGCCGTAGGCGGAGGATTAGCCTAGTGAGCCATGGCGCCAGCCCACCCCATGCTCTTGACATGAGCTGCCTAGGCTAGGAAGCCTTTTGAATCCACAAACTGTCAGTATTTGGACAAGGCCATAAGCAAAGTGGAAGTTCTCTCCTCCCTACAGAGAAAAGTACATCCTTCTTTGATGACCACGTCTTTCCACTGGGATCTCTCTCACAGAGACTCTTCGTGTAGAACATTTTTTGCCACAGTGTCTTGGCTTTCCATGCCTGAGATGCTCTCATGGGCTTTTCAGCCAGACCAGGAAGCTTTAGGGGCTGATTCTGAGGTCAGAGTGATAAATAAGTAAATCTTTAAAAAGAAAACAATTGTTTGGTTCTCCCATATGTATGTGGGAGCTAAAAATTTTTTAAATGACGATGTGTATCAGTTTTGTTGCAAATTCAGTGTTTTTTCAAACTTTGTTTTAACTCTTTGTCAAACATTGTTAAAAATTATATACTACTATAGTTCTAATGATCTAACTTTATATGAGTGAAGTTGACCATCTTTTTATTTGATTTTATTTGTAGCCCTTGCCTATTTTTCTGCTAGGCTATCATCTTTTACTTATTTATTGAACTCTATTTAGGAGCACCATTAAGCCTTTGACTATAATGTAAATTAAAACTATGCTATCTCAAAAAATAAGTAAAATTGTTTATAAACTTCTTTCAGTATAACTGATGTTTCCATTTAATTTTCAGGGTAATTGTCAAGTTTGGGAAAGCCTCTATCAACCTTCTCTCATATTCATAAGAGTTTTAAGATTTTGGAGTTGTTTGGGTACTTCAGTAGCAATTGTGTGCGTGTGTGTGTGTAAGTTTATTTATTTGAAAAGCAGAGCAACAGAAAAATGGAGATAGATAGAGAGAGATTTGCTTTTCATCATTCCCCAGATGCCCCTAAAACCTGGGGTTGGGTCAAGCTAAAACCAGGAGCCAGGAACTCCATGCAATTCTCCCACATGGGTGGCAGAAACCAAGTACTGAGCCATCATCTGCTGCACCTAGGGTCCACATTAGCAGGAAGCTGAATTGGAATGGGGGGGGGGATCCCATGCACTCCCATATGAGATTAAGTGTCCCAAACAACACTTTAACTGCTTGTGCCATAATACCTGCACCTTATGTATGATTTTTACTGTGGTCTGAGAGTATTTGCAGAACAAGAGTTATCTGCTACATTCAAACAATCTGATTCAGTAGGATGAATAAAACACATATTTGCACATACAGACAGATCCACTGGAATAAAACTACAAGTTTGCCGGTGCCGCGGCTCAATAGGCTAATCTTCTGCCTGTGGTGGCAGCACACCGGGTTCTAGTCTTGGTCGGGGCGCCGGATTCTGTCCCGGTTGCCCCTCTTCCAGGCCAGCTCTCTGCTGTGGCCCGGGAGTGCAGTGGAGGATGGCCCAAATCCTTGGGCCCTGTACCCGCATGGGAGACCAAGAGAAGCACCTGGCTCCTGCCATCGGATCAGCGCGGTGTGCTGGCCGCAGCGCGCTGGCCGCGGCGGCCATTGGAGGGTGAACCAATGGCAAAGGAAGACCTTTCTCTCTGTCTCTCTCTCTCACTGTCCACTCTGCCTGTCAAAAAAACAAAACAAAACAAAAACAAAAACAAAACAAAACAAAAAACTACAAGCTTGTGTCCTGTAAACAAAACTTCTAACCGTTCTGTTTGCATGGTTCACATAAAATGTAAGTATAGTGCATTTATAATTCTATAGATGACATTTTTAGTAGATTTCTGATGAGTGGGAAACTCCAATTTGATTAGGCATTGAGAGAAGCAATCTCTCTACATATAAGTTTTCACTTCCTGTTGGAAAGACTTTCTATGGCGTATCATCTCCTTTTCTTTCAAAACTTGGTTCTTGTCTACTACCCACATATTTCCTGTGTCAGGCACCACAGAGCTCCTGCCCTCTGGCCCTGCACTGATGTGACATGGTGCTGGCTGAATCGGCATAATGGGCAGTGAGTGTATTCCAGAAAGCCATTCCCACACCCACGGTGAGCAATAATTTAACAGTTCACGGAAGTAACTGCAAACCACTTAAATGCATGCCACTAAATCCAAGTTAAAAGTATCCCTTATTCAATCGTTGCCGCCTTAGCTAGATCTTCCAAAATGCCTGTGGCCATGCCAATATCTCCTAATGTAGGGGAGAAGAGTACTAAAGGGAAGTGAGAAACAAGGAGACGGCATTCTGAAATATCTAATTCTTAAAACTTTTAGAGGGGCAGGCGTTTGACGTGTGTGGTGGTGAAGATGCTGTTTGGGATGCCTGTATCCCGTATCAGAGTGCTTGGGGTGGAGTCCTGGCTCCATTCGTGATTCCAGCTTTTTGCTAATGAGAACCTTGGGAATCAGCAGACGCTGACTCAGGTAGTTGGATCCC